TAATTTGAAGGCATTTTATCATGTTAATCTCTATATGTCCGTGAACACAGCAATAGGGCCTATCAAAAGATTACCAGTGGAGGACATGGAGAAACAAGCAAATTGTTTCCCAAATGAAAAATACTACTGTATAAATTCGTAACCATTACGAATAAAAATTCAAAATTAATTCTGCTTTTAAATGAATAATAACAAAGTTTGATATAAAGAGTGGATTAAAAGCGACTGTAAATGAGCTGATTCAAAGCATTTTAAACAAATTAATCAACATTTTTATTCTTGGCATCGACAGAAAACATGTATAAGCATAATTATACTGTATGTATACGCTATCTATCCATTGAACCCGTCACGGGTTCAATGTATACGCTATCTATCCATTGAACCGGTGACGGGGTATACTGTATTAAAAGGATCATCATGATAAGAGTATTTTATAAATGATTTTCAACTGGCTAAATAATTATCTTTAATATAGGCCTATTTCTATTTCTATAGTTCTTGGGTTGACAAAGTCAAAGGACAACATATTAAAATCAATCTGTACCTTCAGGACAACCGTGGTCTGGGTTTCATCTTTCTTTTGGTTCGCATACTGTTCTTCTAAATCGGGTGGTAGGCATTCAATCCTATCTTCACGGTATTTTTTGTTGACCAAGCCATCCAATGTTTGGCAAGATTTTGCAACAGCTTTTCGCCTTTTTAATTTCCTGCTCCTTTCTCCCCATTTTTGAACACGTGCGCGCTCCAGCGTCGAGTATATACTCGTCTCAGGGTATTTCTGAGAGCGCTAGGAACGATTATACTTGTCTGAACCGGGGTGTCATTCTAGCATTTTGACTTCATTGCTATACACTGACTTACCGGCTGGTAGTTGGTGGTGGTAGAAGATAACGTGCATATAACGTGTGTATGTTTGTTGTGTTATGTTGCTGGCAGTACAAAATATTGCGCGTGTGGAGTCAGCGCTCTAGTATTAATATTGTAACTCATTTGTACATTCATACAATCTTAATACTGTACTGTTCAGGGCCGGCGGAACGTTTTTCGTTCGTGTGTTTGGAACTAAATATAAGCATTTTCATCGTGGTTTTATTTATTACAATTCATAGGCCTATTCTTTCACCACCATTACACATTGAGGCCCTTCTTTTAGGTAAAACGATCTATCTTAAATTTTCTTTCTCAAGTTTCTTTGGGACTATTATGTTTTTAAATAACTTAGAAGGCAAAGGAGGGCAAGCACAAGCTTTAAACCTAACAAATGCGCGCGAATCATTATTTATGATGCGACGATCAATTTCGTCGGAATTGATCAAAACTCCCTAATTGTGCAATTTTTAAAGGAAATTGGCCTACCTCAACAAGAAATGCTCTTATGTTATATAATGGCCACACTCGTTTTTTTAAAACTGAATATAAGCATTTTCCTTATGGCTTTATTTATTACAAACATATATTCTTTCAACATCATTACACATTGAGGCCCTTCTTTTAGGTAAAACGATCTAGGCCTATCTTAAATTTTCTTTCTTGAGTTTGGGACTATGTGTTATAACCTAGAAGGCAAAGGAGAGCAAGCACAAGCTTTAACATAAAAAAGTGCGCGAGAAGCGCGTGAAAAATGTTTGTTTTTTTTAATTCTAATTTCGTCGGAATTGATCAAAAATGTGCAATTTTTAGAGGAAATTGGCCTACCTCAACAAGAAATGCTTTTATGTTATATATGGCCACATTCGTTTTTTTAAACTGAATATAAGCATTTTCCTTATGGCTTTATTACAAACATATTCTTTCAACATCATTACACATTGAGGCCCTTCTTTAATAGGTTAAACGATCTATCTTAAATTTTCTTTCTTGAGTTTGGGACTATGTGTTATAACTTAGAAGGCAAAGGGGAGCAAGCACAAGCTTTAACATAAAAAATGCGCGCGAAGCGCGCGAAAAATTTTTGGTTTTTAAATTCTAATTTCGTCGGAATTGATCAAAACTCCCTAAAATGTGCAATTTTTAGAGGAAATTGGCCTACCTCAAAAAAATTTGCGATTTAAAATTTGAGATTTTCAGGCACTTTCCCGGGTGAAAAGGGCATTCAATGGGGAAAGACTTTCCACAGATGGATATTTTCCCCTTGTCCCCCGGTTATTACGCCACTGCGGAGAATACCTTGCGGCTTAGATCAAATGCGCTATGGACACATTTTGAAGTGGAAAATGGGTTGCAGGCAGGGGTATTGTGATATCTGTTCATTATATCTTCCTTTTTATTCTTGTCTTTATTTTTTTCTTCTCTTTTCCTTTTTCCTTTCTCTTTCTTTCCCCTTCTTTCTCTTTCCCTCCCTCTCCCCTCTTTCTTTTCTCTTCTTACCCAGCCAGCCCGGTACGACGGCTTGGTCAGCCCGGTAAAAACCGTCAGTGGGGGNNNNCAGTCTGCCCCTGCCCCGCCTGTTACGCCACTGTTTATAAGATGAATGGGAATATGAATCATGCAGATCTGGAATCAAATCTAGGTGGTGGGGTCAACATTCCTCCCCAGGGAAAATTCCGATTTCTAGATGGCGGGAAAATTTCGATTTCTAGATGGCGGGAAATGAGCTTTCCCGACTTCTGAGGTGTCTTTTAATTACTTTTATGTTCTTCAAAATTCAAGGTTTTCCCACCTTGAAAACGGTCTGGTAATTTTTTCCCATTGTTATTACAGTAAATAGGGCTTATGTGTGTATACATACATAACAATTTAAAAAAAAAAAGAGTAGTTGCATACGAATTTTCCATGAATCGATGAATCCCAAAAAGAAAGGGGGGTCCGGGGGTTCTTCCCCAGGAAAATCTTGATTCCTAGAAGGCGGGAAATGAGCTTTCCCGACTTCTGAGGTGTCTTTTAAATTAAAGTCATTAAAAAATACATCAGAAGTCGGGAAATCTCATTGTTCACCATTTAGAAATCAACATTTTCCCGGGGAGAACTCGAACATCCCTTTCCCTGGGTTCATTGATTCATTATAATAATTTTCAAGAGGGGAACACCTTGAATTTTGAAGAACTTAAAAGTAATTAAGTTCTTCAAAATTCAAGGTTTTCCACTCTTGAAAACGGTCAGATAATTTTTTTCCCATTGTTATTACAGTAAATTGGCCTTATGTGTGTATACATACATAAAAAAAAGATTGAGTAAGTTGCATACGTAGTTTTTTCATGAATCGATAAATCCCAAAAAGAAAGGTGGGGAGTGGGGAGGTCCTGTGGTTCTTCTTCGGGAAAATTTTGATTCCTAGGTGGCGGGAAATGAGCTTTCCCCGACTTCTGTGGTGTCTTTTAATGACTTTTAAATTCTTCAAAATTCAAGGTTTCCCCCACCCCTTAAAAATGATTCAATTAATCAGTGAACTCCAAAGATAAAGGGTCCGGGTTCCCCGGAAAAATTTCGATTTCTAGATGGCGGGAGATGAGCTTACCTGACTTCTGAAATGTCTTTTAATGACTTTTAAAGTTCTTCAAAATTCAAGGTTTT